ATGGACACAAGAATGTTTGTACATTTTAACCGAAGATGAGAAAACCCTTTATATGTCCTTCACTATAAGGTCCAGTGTTCTGTCGTGGCGTGCGATGTACACAGCCGTTCGGGTTTTTAGAAATCAGAATTCTCTCATGGATTTTATTTTATTCCAATAACCCTGCATCAGTTCTGTTATGACGTGGGGTTCTGCTGATGAGAGTGTGTGTGTGTGTGTGAGGGTCATCCTGTGTGTAGTCATCTGTGCCGGCGGTCGGTGAGTCCCCTGTTCTGGTGTACTTGTCTACCTATCTAAGTGGGGACCTTGGTGTCGTTACACACTCACCAACAGGGGACCGCCGAGCCAACCGTGTGTGTGTGTGTGTGTGTGTGTGTGTTTTCACTTCTGTTGAACTGAAGACCAGACTAACTGTGCAGTGCCAACACACTCGTCAGAGGATCTTATTAAACGCTCGTTATATACACTATTATTCACTAGCATTCTTCATGGAAACTTTTTGTCATTATTATTATCATTATCATCATCATCAATTATATTATTATTTAATAATAATCATAATCATAACCACCTCCACTAATACATCTACAGTGCTATTCTAACTTTATTTTAGTTTTATTATAGCAGTTTTAATACTTTTATTTGTATATTTTTTGTTTTCATGTTAATTTTAGTTTAATTTTTAGTCGTCATTATGTGATTTTGTCATTTTATTAGTTTAAAAAAAATATTGCTATTTAGGGTTAATTCATTTATATTTCATTTTTAGTTTCTATTTATTTCCAGTTAATAATTTTAGTGCTTGAACTTTTTGCCAAAGTAACATTTCTAATTTTCATTTAGTTTAAGTTCTTCAACTGATTTTTTATTTTATTTTATTTCAGCTTAATTTTAATTAACTGAAATGTTTTATTAGTTTTAGTTAACAATAATAGCCTTGATCTACAAGTGTTCATTACTCCAATTAGCTCATTGTTTCTGACTTTTTTAATGAATACATGTTTATCTAACTGTGATTTGTTTATGTACATTTCTGAAATACACGGGCCATTGACAAATAAGGTTTTTAAAAGTTTAAAAAAATATATAATTTATTTTGAAACCATTTTTTAGTTTTACTAAGTGTTAACAATGAGATTATGTGGTTTTTACAACCACACTTAACACTGCCTATGTCATTTTTTACAAGATGGACAAAATCTGTCACCAAAAAAGTCATTCGGTTTAATGAATATTTCTGAAATGATTAATTTGCAGATAAGTTCCTCAGACAGTTCCTCTGATAACAGATCACTGTACACTAATGTGGACTCATGTATTTTCTGTAAAGCTGCTTTAAAGCGATGTGTATTGTGAAAACCGCGATACAAATAAATGTGAATTGAATTGTTTTAGCACAAACATATCAATAGGTGATATTGAAAAGAAAAATAAGCAGCACAGCACATATAGACAGTGGGTTAGCCGTTAGACATGGGACAGCTGAAGAGTAGCGCTGGTGTACTGGTTGCGTGGCTGTAGTTGTGTTGTTGCCCCTGACAGCTCAGCCGATGATGCATGACTGTAGTTCAGGGTAATTGATCTGACTGAGGGAACGCTGAGGCCGTGCCTTTTTGACCACTCGTTTAATAAACAAAAGAGTGCATTATGAGGAGAAGTTCCTTCCTGCGCTCGTTATCAGTGTCCCGAACCTCTCAGCCCTGAGCTACAGCTCACACACACTGATAGATGAGGACTGTGTGTGTGTGTGTGTGTGAGAGCTACAGCTCATCACACTCTGATAGATGAGGAGAACTGACCTGATGAAGTGCGTGTGTGTGTGTGTGTGTGTGTGTGTGCTGTTCAGGACTCATCGTAGGGATGTGTTTATCTGGAGGGTTTAAAGCGATAGTTTACCCAAAAGTGAAAATTAGCCCATGATTTACTCTCCCTCAAGCCATCCTAGGTGTGTATGACATTCTGCTTTCAGACGAACACAATCAGAGTTATATTAAAAAATGTCCTGTCTCTTCCGAGCTTTATAATGGCAGTGAATAACTGTTTCTGTTTTGAAGTCCATCAAAGTGCATCTATCCATCATAAAAGTAATGCACTTTTATGATGGACAGATGCACTTTTATGATGGACAGATGCACTTTTATGATGTATAGATGCACTTTTATCATGGATGGAAGCACTTTTATGATGGATAGATGCACTTTTATGATGTACAGATGCACTTTTATGATGGACAGAAGATGCACTTTTATGATGTACAGAAGATGCACTTTTATGATGTATAGATGCACTTTTATCATGGATAGATGCACTTTTATGATGGATAGATGCACTTTTATGATGTACAGATGCACTTTTATGATGGACAGAAGATGCACTTTTATGATGTACAGAAGATGCACTTTTATGATGTATAGATGCACTTTTATCATGGATAGATGCACTTTTATGCTGGACAGATGCACTTTTATGATGTATAGATGCACTTTTATCATGGATAGATGCACTTTTATGCTGGACAGATGCACTTTTATGATGGATAGATGCACTTTTATCATGGATAGATGCACTTTTATGATGTATAGATGCACTTTTATGATGTATAGATGCACTTTTATGATGTACAGATGCACTTTTATGCTGGACAGATGCACTTTTATGATGGATAGATGCACTTTTATGATGGACAGATGCACTTTTATGATGGATAGATGCACTTTTATGATGGACAGATGCACTTTTATGATGGACAGATGCACTTTTATGATGGACAGATGCACTTTTATCATGAATGGATGCACTTTTATGATGGACAGAAGATGCACTTTTATGATGGACAGATGCACTTTTATGATGTACAGAAGATGCACTTTTATGATGTATAGATGCACTTTTATGATGGATAGAAGCACTTTTATGATGGACAGATGCACTTTTATCATGAATGGATGCACTTTTATGATGGACAGAAGATGCACTTTTATGATGTACAGAAGATGCACTTTTATGATGTATAGATGCACTTTTATCATGGATAGATGCACTTTTATCATGGATAGATGCACTTTTATGATGGACAGATGCACTTTTATGATGGATAGATGCACTTTTATGATGTACAGATGCACTTTTATGATGGACAGATGCACTTTTATGATGGACAGATGCACTTTTATCATGAATGGATGCACTTTTATGATGGATAGATGCACTTTTATGATGGATAGATGCACTTTTATGATGGATAGATGCACTTTTATGATGGATAGAGATGCATTTTTATCATGGATAGATGCACTTTTATGATGGATAGATGCACTTTTCATGATAGATTCACTGCCATTATAAAGAGTATCTAAATCGAGTATCTAAATCCTAGAATATCTAAATCGACTGCTGGCGGTAGATCCTTTTCCTATTTAGCACCAAAACTTTGGAACAGTCTTCCTACCATTGTCCGGGAAGCAGACACACTCTGTCAGTTCAAAGCTAGACTAAAAACACATCTCTTTGACCTAGCATACACATAATACATTATAGACTTCTATAAATTCAATGTTAGGCTGCATAGATTAGGTCAGCCGGAACTGGGAACACTTCCCTTAAATCTTGATGTACTCGCTACATCATAAGAAGAATGGCATCTACGCTAATATTAGTGTCTTTGTTTATCCCGAGGTTTTCCCGCAGCCTGCCGGATCCAGGCCGTGTCCAGATCTGACGAAGGCGATTCGCCTGGACCCGATGACAATGCAGTGCTGAAGTATCCACTATCCTCTCCCTATGGAGGATCCCTTTCCCACTCTACAGATAAAGCGCTGTGAATTCCGGCTCGCGTACCCCGAAGTGATAAAATAAAACAAAATTCTGTATCAAAATTTATAGGCAAGAAAAGTAGTTTGTTTAGGCTGGGTTGTATGAATTACAAACCTGCGCACATATTTTAAAAAGCACATAACTATAGAATTCTGAATGTGCATGTGAACGCCGTCAGCGTTAATCACAGGTTCGCGTTTAAAGTCTGATCATTTCGACGGAGGTGAATCAATCAAAGTTAACTTTAGCTGGAAATAACATTATTTGAGAACCGCTATAACGCCAAAACAATCTCTGTTACCTTAAATTATATGTTTATCTCTGTAAAGCTGCTTTGAAACAATTCATTGTTAAAAGCGCTATATAAATGAAGATGACTTGACTTGACATTATAAAGCTTGGAAGAGCCAGGACATTTTATATATAACTCTGATTGTGTTCGTCTGAAAGAAGAAAGTCATACACACCTAGGATGGCTTGAGGGAGAGTAAATCATGAGCCAATTTTTCATTTTTGGGTGAACTATCCCTTTAAGGGCCAAACCGCTATGGTTTGCCGGTTTGCAGGGATCATCAGGTCGTGATGTAGTTGTGTAGTGTTGGAGGTCATGCTGATGTCTGAACCATCACTTGCTGTCAAACTCAAACTGCATTAGCTGTTTAACCTCAGGGGTCAGCAGGCTAATGTTATAATGTCACCGCCTCCAGCGGTTCCTTCAGTTTTACACTCATATGCAACCAGTGTGTAAACGTGCTCAGATGATGATCATGCTGTGGTTTAAAAACGTCTGTTTATGTAGTTTACACATTTCATGGTTTGTCAGAAAGGATTAGGATGAAATAATCTGATTCCAGTTCTTCAGGAGCAGGATCATCAGCACCAACATGTCAGCAGTTGTACAGTCACAGTAGTGATGTCGTCTGTCACCAAAACTCAAATGTGCTCATTTTCAACATTCTACAGCACAAAATTAGGCTGATTTTGCGTCCAGCATTTGATTATTTTCTTGAATACCATTGAGCCGTATTAATGTTTAAGATACAAAATATCTCTAAAAGTTGTATTCTAAAAATAAAAACAAAAAACGCACTGAACTACATCATTTCTTGTTAGTATGACGTGCTTCCCTTGATGCTTAACTGTGTCCTTTTCCCTCCTCCTCCTTCTCCTCATCCTCCTGTTCTCAGACGAGCCGAAGAGGTTCCAGGTGATGGTTCACGGGATCGAGCCGCTCCTGGAGACACCGATGCAGTGGCTGAGCGAACACCTGAGCCACCCGGACAACTTCCTGCACATCAGCGTCATCCCGGCGCCCAGCGACTGATCCCGGCGATCCCACCGGATAGAGGATCTGCACACACACACACACACACACACACACACTCCTGATCTCTCATCGAGAAGCCTTCCTGAGAGACGGTGCTCATCCCACATTAACTCTCCCGTTCCCACTCTCGAATCCCACTAACACACGCTTAGACTCGCACATCTGTGATTATGATCAGGAGGAGCGAGCCACTAAACTGCAGTACGGGACGGGATCATCATATCCCATGGTGGGAAGTGATGGAACTTAAAGCAGGACAAATCATGCCTTTAGGATTACAGGGACAGATATAGGAGACTTCATATAAACATGACGGTGAGATGTGTGTGTGTGTGGTTTCAGCTCACAGGAGGCCGTTACTGTAGCTCTCGCTCACACACACCGTTATCCTTCCTTTAATTATCTGGGAAAGGGTTTTCCTTCGTTTAGAGACTAATATTGTATCAAAAGTCAGTCAAAAGCCAAACAAGCACATTGACATATCGCACTGTTTCCGAGGAACCTTACAGTATTTCCTTTCTCTTCGTCTCTGAGCGTTTATTTACCCCCTGCCTTGTGTGTGTGTGTGTGTGTGTGTGTGTGTGTGTGTGTGTGTGTGTGTGTGTGGGATGTGGGACTGTAGACGACACACAGCTGACTCTCATTATTGGTGTGTAGGAATCGGTGAGTGTTTTCCCCGGAGCGACACACACACACACACCGCAGAGCTCACGCCACTTCTCGGCAGACTCTTCTACACACAGAGGCGTTTGTGTACACACTCTCAGATGTTTAGATCATTCCTCGCATAATCACTGAAATAAAGATGTGCAACCCGTCTCTGCTAATAACACGGTTAAATCAAAACAGTTCAAATGTGTGTGATTGCTTTTCTGTCTTTGCTAGATTCATTTAAAATGCATTGAATTAAAACTATTTTATAGCTATGAAGTGTTTCTGTGTTTATTAATCATATCTCTCTCACAGGATCTCAGAAATCGTTTCAGAGAAACTCTATTCACACGCTAAGACTCGCATGAGATATTAAGTGCAACATCCATGATGAACATTTCAAACAGTAGTGAGTTATCTTCACATGATCTCAGTGTGTGACAGTCAAACCAAAAATGATTCAGACACCAGATATAATTTTTGATATGTTTCACTAGTGTGTGCAGGACACTATAGTTCAGTTATGTAAGTGAGGAGAGCAGAATAAAGTAAACCGTGACATATTACACCCAAATATTCTTCACACAGAGACTACCACATTTAAACACATCTGGGACAAGAAAGTATTCAGTCACTTTGAGCTGATCATGTTTTTTTTCTTCAGTGTGTTTTCTGTAATTGCTAATGCTCTTTTTACACACAGACTGAACAACATGAAGCATTGCTTGGTCACTGGTTGAGCTAAACTGGTATTATCTAATTGTGTAGTTAAATTTAACAGCTGACAGATATTCAACATAATTCATGTGTGAGAGTCTAACAGAAGGACGGACAAAACCAGTCAAATATCCACTGATCTGAGAACTCTGAGTTCTGCTCATATTTATCACCATTTTTCTGAACTATAGCGAATAAACTGAGATAATGTGAGAAATGTTAACAGTGTCTGAATACATTTTGGTTTGACTATATGTTCAAATTAACCAAATGTATGTTATTGGTCTTATGAACAATTCATCCTTTCTTGTCTCCTTTAAAAAAAAGCATTTTATTGTTAAAGTATCATAATAATAATAATCTTCTGGTGAAACGACGGACTCCAATAATCTTTAAACCCGAGTCGACAGCAAACTCTCCTTCAGATCTGCCTCCGTCTGAACGCCGCCATACGTTTGGTCCTGTTTAATCATGTTTCACGGAGATGTGTGTTACAATACACAAGACAAGATCATTTCTACTTCAGTTTTATCTCAACTGTAGGAGATGCCTGAGCTCTGCAGCCGCTGAGAAGCGTAACCTCCGTTAACTCTACAGTGATTCTCCGTTATAATCAACCCTTTTTAAAAGAAACTGTTTTTTTTCTTACTGTGAAGAATATTTAAAAAAATCTATAGAACATTTTTCCACTATAAAGAACGTTTTGTGCAATAGAAAGAGTTCATAGATGTTAAAGACGTTCATTGATTCCTATAAAGAACCTTTATTTGTAATACGATACCCATATTTCATATTTAGCTCGATAATGTTTTTTATTTAATATTTTGTATTTTGGGGGAATTTTATGGAACTCAATTAAATTTTCGCTGTATTTATAATCCATTTATTCACTTTTTGAGCATAGACCTGAAAATTTAATTTCCAACTTAAACTGGTAAATCTTGAATGCTTTAAATCACAGAAGTGAAAAAAGTGAACTTAAATTTTTAAAAAAAGTGAACTTCATTTTTTTTTACAGAATTTTATGTTTGTTATGAAAAATGTGAAAAATACTGTTTTAAATTTTTACATGAAAGATATTCTCACAAAAATGTTTTACTCTAAAACTGTGAGAAAATCAAAGCTAAACAAGTGTGTGTTCCGCTTGTGAGCTGATCTCTCAGTAAACGAGCGTTCAGTGAGTGTGTGTTCGGCTGCAGTTCCACACGCTTCCTCTAGAGGAAACTCTCATTTGAATTTTTGACCATGAAACAGAACAAGTGTGACTTTTTTTTTTTCCGGACCATTTGGACGTGTGTGTGTGTGTGTGTGAGTGGTCTTCGCACAGGAAGACGGGTGGGAGGCGTAGAGAACATCAAAGTGAAGCCCAGTTCTCTTCATGTGTTCATTAAATAAAGAGCTGTCCGAGACTCACTGATTCCTGTAAACCCGTCACTTAAAGATCACAGGAGCCACTCTACTCCTCTGTCATTCTCCTCAGACATTAGTTCTGTCGTAAGAGCAGTAAAAACTGCTTTTCTTCTTTAAACTCATGTCTTCATGTCCTGCATCTCGTGGTTTCCTCCATGGGAAGTGGCTTCAGTCCTGACTCTCTTTGAAGTGCAGTTAATGAGGTTCATGTCTCTCGTATGGGTCTGTATGCACATTACTCTCGTGTCCTGCACTCCCTGCACCGGCTGATTGGGATATAACAGTAAAACTCAAGGCCATAACTCTGTTGAGTTATACGAGGTGTCCGAAGACAACTTTCCCTCTGTCGGATGGGAACACCTGGAGCTGAGAGAGGAGAGGAGGATCCTGAGGAACACACACAACTCTCTCTTCTCATCTTCCTCAGACCTGTCATTAACCCGGGCCCTAATGGACAGGTGCTGAGGGACCCCGGGGTCTGGCTCATGACGACGATGACATCATTCTTTCAGTTTGTGTTTCCTTTCCATTTTCTTTCATTTATTTTTCTAAGGATTTTATACTTTGATTCACTTCGTCCTCTTTCCTTCCTTTTTCCTGTTTCCTTCATTTGTTTCCTCAGTAGGAGTGAGCGGGCACACACTAACGCAGCTCTAGTTGTCACACTAGTTTAAATACTTGCACACATGCTAGGATGACGACACTTAGTGTATTTACTAGTTGCCATATCAACACTATATATAGTGAAAAAAATACACCAGAATTAAAAATCTTTGGAAGATATCACTGAACATTTATTTAACCATAGCAAAAATAAATGTTTTATTTGTGTTTATTTAAAATTTAACAAATCTGATATTATTTTTTACTCTTATATCTGTAATTTACCAGTTGAGATAGTTATTTAATGCTGATCTAACAGCACTCGCCGGGTTTAAATAGTCCATGCAGCTTAAGCAAGTTCACTGATGTCACGTTTGTTGTTGTACGCATTGCGCGGCTCAGAAATGAAATGTCCGATATATTGTTAAAGGGTTAATGCTTTACCTCGTTTGAGAATAGAGCAGCACCTTGACCAAACATAACCTAACCATAAGCCTACTATCATATATTTTCTAATATTATTAATTATGATGATTTCCTTATAAATATGGTTATTATCTCAGGTGGACACCCAACTTAATATACCATTTGAATCTAACCATGATGATGTCAACGAATGGAAAAGTCAGCCAGCGGTTTATTATCATGTTAATGTGCCTTTAAGGCCCGTTCACACCAAGAACGATAAAGATAATAACTATAAACTATATTAGCGTCCACACCAGCGATATCGTTCTGTTTATTCTAAGCGCGTGCTCGTCTGCCGCTTTAATATAATGTAATATTAATTATTAACTATTTAACGGGAGCTTTTTGCTGTCCGCGATCGCGCCAAATTTCCACGAGCATCATCATTTCGCGGTTAAGGAAAGCGCTGAGCTGGATTTACTGTGCCATAGTGATTTACAAGAGAATAAAGTCAAAAACGCCTTTAGCTCCGATGGACTCGAACAGAAGCAAACGTGAGATGAAGGATGAAATGCATTAGCTAAAGCCATGTGGTTTGAACTGGCATCTCCTGTTATCGCTGTGTTTGGACTCCTCGAGTGTGCACTGCTGTATCTCAGTCTCAGGTGAGCGAATACAGAACACGATACACACGAGCATACAGGCCTGGGGGTTTACAAATCATGCACTGTGGTAATGTCAGAGCAATAACATTGTATTGTGCAGTAACCGTGTGAGATTAAGTATTTATTTACCAATGATTTGCCTGTGTAAAGGTAAAAATGTAGATAGAGGTGTGTTTTTCCAATGACCTGTGACTTAGCCTATGTTTATATTCGGTTAAACAATAGGACCATATCGGTAGATTCAGATTTGCTGTTCTGTCCATTCACTGTTCTGAGAACACAATTGTTTCTGCAACTTTCCCCCCTTAGCGTCAGTGATTCAGACATCTTCTTCATCATCATCATCATCATCATCATCACAGCGGGAAACGGTGAAAGCCAATTATCAAGTATAATCCACATGCTCACATGGGACCTATAAATGTACAGTTTTTGGAAGAGCTGGAAGGGATTCCAGTTGATGTAGTCAGTGTTCTGAGAACTGGATTAGGAAGAGCGTGTGTTGCCACATCTGTTTAACAGTCACAAACCGTCTAGACTTTCAGTTCTGACGAGTTTCACTGCGAACATTTGATCAGCATTTGACCTAAACACTTCAAACCAAACCCCCCCAAAAACATCCAAAGACTAATACAAATGTAGAGAACATTTGTACTGGTCCTTGGAGGTTTTGTCTTGTTTGGTTTGAAGTGTTTCGGCTGCTTCAGGAAATGAAGTTCGGACAGATTTTCATTAAAAATAAGAACATCTTGAATTGGACCTCTGAACTCCTAGCTCATATTTTTAACTTACTTTAACTTAAGTTATTAGGATTTTAGACTAATGAGATCTCATAGTTTAGTGGGATGGCACCCCAGATAGTGCATAAAAGTCCCCGTTGTGGTCACAATACTGTACACAAGATTTTGATGTTTTTGTGCAATGATAGTAATTGTCTTGCATTCATATGCATTTCATTATTATAGTGGGATAGTGGGATGTGTTTATAGGCCTGTTGTGGTGGCATTATAACAGTGTCACGATTTCTGTGGAGTTTGACACATCGGCGGATTCTTCAGTCTGTTGAGTCATGGATCTCTTCATGGGAAATGTGTATGAAGCATCTCGTAATTGTGGGGTTGCTAACTTTTACCCCGGAGCTGCTCGCTATAGCTTTTAATGCACTGGTAACGGTAGTTTGCTGTATTTTGAAGCACCTAAGAATCAGATCTCTTATATAGTTTCTAAATTGAATTTATTTTTGGCTGTTTTTCTGCTGTATTTAATGCATTTTTTGCACATTTGTTTTTTATCTGAAAAACAAAAGTCATCATGATGCAAAACGCTTTGACTTTAAGGGTTAAAAATAACAGATCTGAATATTTTTTTTAACTGAAGAAATATATCTCAATACTTTTGCCTTTTCTCACTAAAGTTTTGCGTTCCCTGAGAAACTGCATTCGCTTGCAAAGATTTTGCAAACTTTTTGTTCATCACTACTATCCCTTTAGAGGCTCCATCTTAGACCTTTCTCTCAGAATCCACTTTACATCAAGAATCAGCCACATTTTCCAGTTTCATGCAGATTTGTAGTTTCTAAATTGAATTTATTTATGGCTGTTTTTAAATTTTGTGCACTTTTGAACATTGTTTTTATCTGAAAAACAAAAGTCATCATAATGCATAAACTCTTTAAGGGTTAAAAATAACAGATCCGATAGAATGCCAAGCGTTTTTTTAATTGAAGAAATATATCTCAATGCTTTTGCCGTTTCTCACTAAAGTTTTGCATTCCCACGTTCGCTCGCAAAGATTTTGCTAAGTTTCCCGGGAGAAACCAAAACATTTGACATATTTGAGGTAATTTTTTTCATCACTATCCCTTTAGTGGCTCCACCAGAAGACATTTGTCTCAGAATCAACTTTGCGTCAAGAATCAGACACATTTTCCAGTTTCACGCGGATGTTTATGAAAGTGAGCGGTCAGTTTTAGTGCCACGTGTGGTTTAGAGGAGAATAAAATCAAACCTTTTACCCTATATATAATGAAAGAGCACACAAGTGACAAAAATGCATTAGATCAGTGAAGATTTATATTATAATTTACATTTTGTCAAAGCTGTACTTAAATAGCTACGTAAACCAGTATGTAAACAAAGACAGTCTTTTTCTTTAATTTAAAGCTGAAGATGAGGTGTAGACTTTGGTCATACTTTAGGGACTATGAGATACTACTACTACCTCACAGCACATTGCTCCTGCTAATATCGCTGGACAGAATCATATTAAAAACAAAGGGAAAAGTACAAACATAAGAAGAAAGACGAAGAGCCAGTGCATACAAAGGCCGAGGTGATCGCCACCACTGACCTCAGAACAGACAGTCGCAGCAGCTCACACTGCGTCCGCACATCTCTGAAGAGTTCACTTTGGTTATCGTTCACACATTCTCGTTTCTTTATCGTTTTTGGTTTCAGTGATGTGCCACACATAAGGAAGAAAAAGCAGTGTCGACCTCACAGCCTGTGTGACAGACTGCGTTCTGTGGACCACATGCAGAACTGCACACTGCGACAAAACATCACATATAGCTCTCAATACAAGCACACACACGCACACACACTCCCACATCTGAGGTAACAGTTGTTAATATATAATATGCCCTTTTTGCATTCATTATATTGTGTAGAGCTCAACATTAAGAGAATACATGTTATGTAAAACACGTACACAGATATGTAACCTTTCCTAGAGTTAAAAAAAGCCTTCCTCTGACTTCAGCCCACATTACAAAATCAACCTGAATGTGGGAAGCTCTTTGCAGTCGCGCATGAAATCACAGTCAACCGGGACACTATTTACAGTAACCATCCGCAAAAAAGAAGATAGCAGAAGAAAATATATAAAACAGTAAATTACAATGAGTCATTGTAAACATCGTATTGGTTGTGAAGAATGACGCGTTGAACAATAAATTAAATAGATTACGTAACAAACTTAAAATGAACACCAAGAAGAGCAAATAATAATAATAATAATAAAAAAAGATATGATTGTCTTTATCATTTGTGTAGGACATACTGGAGCACTGATGGACTGGATCAATGTCTGTTAGCCCTGAGTACTGAAGTCCCTGAACTTAAAGGGATAGTTCACCCAAAAATGAAAATTAGCCCATGATTTACTCTCCCTCAAGTCATCCTAGGTGTATATGACATTTTTCTTTCAGACGAACACAATTTGAGTTCTATTAAAAAATGTCCTGGCTCGTCCAAGCTTTATAATGGCAGTGATCCATATTTAAAACTTTATCGACTAAAATAACTAGCTTCCGGCCCACGCCTAAGTCGACTTACGCCACAAGAGTAACACTTTATGAGAATGTCATATACACCTAGGATGGCTCGAGAGTGAGTAAATCATGGGCTAATTTTCATTTTTGGGTGAACTATCCCTTTAAAGGCCTGATTCTTTGAGAAGAATTGTGCATTCTTGTCCAAAGCGTCTCGTCGGCTAGGTTTCCATGGCCTCCTCTGTCTCCTTTTTAACCGTGATGGGTAGGAGTTGAATAGGGCTGCTGCAATGAACCTTAATGACCGACGCCTCACTTCCATGTTCGCTCAGACGATACGGTGTCGACGGGTGCCGGTCTCCGCTTGTGCTAACCGTGTGATACGACGCCTTAAAATCCATCTCTTGCCAGAGCAAACCAAAGATCTGTTTCTCCACCATGCCGTCCACGTCAAACCCCTCCATCTCTTCCAGCCGGTCTGCATTATCGCTGATGTCGAAGCGTTCGATCTCCTCGTTGACGCGGTTGAGTTCGTCCAGGCTGCAGCTGGGAGGAGGGATGAGCGCTAGGCAATAGCCTTTGAGATGGAGCCGGAGACTGTTTAGGTGGATGTAGTTGCGGTGGCAGTGCGGGCATTGGTGCGGACGCTCTCGTGTGTGTAGCCGTTTGTGCAGCTTGAGGTGGACGAACTGTGTAAACTTGGCTGGGCAGATCTTGCACTGGTAGGGCTTTTCCCCAGAATGCAACCGCAAATGTGTTTTCAAGTTGCTCGTGCTGCTGAAACGCTTGTGACACACCTGTGAAGGTCAAAGCAGAGTTTTAGGATCTCGCTCTCATCTGTGCTGAGAACTTGGTCAAAACTAAATTTATTCAGACACCTTCAACATTTCTCACATTATCACAGTTTATTCACCATTGTTTAGAAAATGGTAATAAATATGAGCAGAACTCAGAGTTCTCAGATCAGTGGATATTTCACTGGTTTTGTCCGTCCTTCTGTTAGACTCTCACACATGAATTATGTTGAATATCTGTCAGCTGTTAAATTTAACTACACAATTACATAATACCAGTTTAACTCAACCAATTACCAAGCAATGCGTTATGTTGTTCAGTCTGTGTGTAAAAAGAGCATTAGCAATTACAGAAAACACACTTCAGCAAAACATGATCAGCTCAAAGTGTCTGAATAATTTTTTGGTTTGACTGTACATTATATTACATATTATGTTTATTTTACCTGGCACTCGTGGGGTTTCTCTCCGGTGTGCACCAGAAAGTGTTTCTGCAGATGAGCCAGCTGGGTGAAACCTTTATTACAGGTCTGACACTTAAAGGGTCGTTCACCACTATGGACACGCAGGTGAACCTGAAAATAAAGATAGGTTAGATAGGCACTAGGGTTGGGAATCGAATCAAATTGAAACCCAATTCTGGAATCAAATACTTGAGGTCAGGAATCGGATACTTGTTATAAAAATAAGATTTCGATTCCTGTGTTTACTTGTCTTTAATAATGCTTGAAATTTATATTAGTTAGGCTAGTTGTGTTTCTATGGTATTTTTAAACTACAGGCAAAGTGTCTTCTTTAGCCTGTTGATTTTTGTTCATGATCTTCAGCTAAAATGAAATGTTTTGCAATAAGACTAAATGTGAATGATATCAAAGTTTTTTTTTTATACCTTATTGGAATCGAAATTAGGAATCTATAAGAATCGCAATCGAATTGTTAAAATTTACATGATACACAACCCTACTAGGCACTACGAGGAGTATTTCAAATATAGCACACAGAGAGACAGTTCTCTTGCTTACCTTGAGATTGGAAAGTTGACCGAAAGTCTTGGTGCAAACATTGCACTCGTACTTGATCTTCCCGTTCTGCTTCTTAAGTGGATAATCGAGACTTTTGTAGCCTGCGGAGCCTCGTTTCATCTTGCTGAGATTGATGGCCTCGTCCTCTGTGCGGCTGGTGCTCAGAATGGCTGAGGTAGGCTTGGTAGGAACGCGTCCCGTAGAGGCTCCCGAACCGGCTGTTGGAGACCCGCCGGCAGGGGCGTAGTGGTGCCCGTGCCCGTGGATGATGGGTTTGTCTTTCAGAGAAGTGGCTGCGGAAAAGGCACTGGTGGCCGCTGGGAGAAGGAGATCCCTGTGAGCCGGAGAGTCAGGGGGAAGCAGGAATTGTCGACCGCCCTCGGATGGAAGCATCCCAGGTGGGAAGGGTACATGAGGGGGGATCAGGCTGCTGTAAAACGGGTACATGTGTGGAAACATACCCCCTAGGGTTGGTGGCCCACTCAAACTACTAACAGGGTAGTGGGGCATGAGGTAGCGTGAGTAGTGCGGGTTCGGGTAGAATGGCATTGGGCCGGCCGGTGAGTAGCCATGGTAGTGGTTCAGGCCTCGACTGTACAGTGCTGGAGAGAAGGAGAGAAGAGTGTCTCGTGGCTCAAGGGATGCTGGTGCAGGACTGCTTTCTGGACTTCTCTCGGGACTGCTGTGTGCGGAAGGGCTGGGCGTCGCTGAACATTGTCTGTGGGAGCGTGTCGGGTGGCCAAACACTGTGGTGCTCTTTAAAAAGTCCTCGTTTAGGGAAGGGCGGAGCGGATAGACAGGACTGGGGTAAAGAGGTCGGTCTGGGGTGTTTGGGCAACGAGGACGGGTGGGAAGAGGTCTGCTGGGTTCTTGCAGAACATCTTTCAAGATCTCTGAAACGCTGTGCTCTCTTTTCACCGGGTGCTTGACTTCGGTCGCTTGCTGCTTGGCTTCAATCAGGCTCTGCTCTGTTCACACACAATAAAACAATGTCAATAATTTTCTCACAAATTCACATATCTCTTTGTGTTATAGTTAGCAAAAAATACCGACTTCTGTACCAAGTCAATTCTGACATTTTTAAAAATGTAACTCTACTTTGTGTTATGTTTTACACATATTACTTGTAAACGAGATTGAGAAACAAGCACATCCAATCCAGTTATGGTTATTTTGAGGGACACAGCAGCTCCATTGTCCCAGAGCACATAGCTCTTCTTAAACCAAATTTCAACAAAGCACCCCAGTGGTTCACTTAGTGTGACAGTTTGACAAATTGTCTGGTGTTAGGGTCTACAGGATGTGAGGCTGACAGCGCCCCGGTCAGGGTGGGATGGATGCACTGATACTATCTAATGGGGTTCACTGAGTGGGTGTGGGGGGACGGATGGCGTCCTGCTAATAGGGATCTACATGTCTAGATCTCTCCCTTGTAGAGTCTACAGAGACTGGATATTATTTAGTGATCGATCTTTCATGAGCTCCCAAATTTCTGCACAACCTCAAACTTAAAAGCTTGCACAGAATTCACATAAAAAAAAAATCAGATGAGGAGTCAAAATGTTTGGGCTAAATAGACCCATTATAAACCACCCGGACTCTTCCACACACCCACATTTAATGAAAGGTGGAAAGCTAATTAGAAAAGTACTTTCCCATACGTCTTAAATACTTATCTCCTTTAAAAGGATGTAAACAATTAAATAACTTCCTGCTTCCTGTCCACTGAACATTCACAGGGTTAATTGTGTAGAATTAAAGTGTGAATATGACTGTATGCATCCCTTAAAAGATGTACCGTACTCTCTACTCCCCTATCCTTCTGTCCCGGCAGCTACGTGTAAACAAACCGAGAGGTTATCAGTTCTCCCCTCCCACCTCTCTTCCACAGATAGCACCAGTTCTGTTCCTCCCTAGAGAGCTTGCCAAAAACAAACAGCCGGCGATCACAGAGATATCAATCTGTCAGCACAGCCCTGCCGCCAGGAAGTTCAACTAGTCAATGGAGATGTTTTTTTCTTCTCTTGCGCACGCTCTTACTAGCCTCTCCTTACTCTTAAAGTGGCAAGCAAATGAAAAAGTTCCTCCCACACCTCCTGAGGCAGGATGGTAGGAATGAAGGCACTTAAGATACACGTTGGCTGAATGTGCTGTCGTTTTACACCAGACAGGCCAGTGAAATAGAAAGTCAACGTCTAAATCAGTTTCATGTGGGAGGTTGTGTCAGTCATATCACCCCGTTCTGTAAGACTGAGTCACACTAGGTTTCACTGCTGTTCAGCTTTGAGATCCAGGGGCTATTATTCCCTCTTCAGGCTGCAGGTATGAGGGAGTAGGTGTAATTACAGACTTGTCTATGTGTGTGTGTGTGTGTGTTGAGCTCAAGGGGTCGGCTACATCCAGTGGCCCCAGGGTATGCGCATGACTCTGGGGAGAGGAGTCACACTGACTGGCCTGTTCACCTAACTATAATCTCCCCCTGTCCTCCGTATCAATCTTTTCTTCTGTCTCGTCCTTTCAGCTTTGAGGACTTTTATTGTCGGTTTATTATGTTGGGCAAAACAAACCTTAGCCTGCACTTTCATGTTTAAAGAACATCCTCAAACACCAATGGCTGGAACATTACACTCCTATTCTTTGTAATTAGTCTGAAGGAAAACATTGTTGGAGAAGAAAGCAGAGAAATCGAGTGGTTCAAAGAATTCCGATCCTAACGCAGATGAAAGAGAAGACGCTGGTGTGTTTGCACAATGGTCTATCTCTAAAGTGGGAAGGCATGTTTTCCTTGACTTAAACTGAGATAACGAGGAAGCAGGGGTCTCATCTATAAAATGCATAGGATCTTTACTAAAAGTGTATGTGCGCCCGGAAGGCAAAAATGGTAAGTTTTTAAGTCTAAAAATATTTAGACTTAAAAAAGCGTGCGAACGCCAGAACCTGCGCAAAATCCCCTTCATAAACCCCAGTCAGAGGGAGATTGTGCACATGCGTCTCCACCTCGAAATAACCATATATGAGCTGACAACGCCTGGTTTTACTATGCAGATCCTATCATTTGCATATCAAATGCATATTCATCCATGTGAGACCATGTTTAACGGTACAAGACATTAGGAAAATATGAGATACGGATGTGCATCACATTACATTGCTTTTAAATAAATAAACAATATTTTGAATGGAAACAGAAAGGCCTTATTGTGCATAATTGATCATTATTTGCGTGAAAATATTTCCTCAGACCATGAGTTCTGCTATTATTATCATGCGCTAAGCAATCTTCGCTGTAGTTAAAACATTAAAACACAGCATGCCACGGGAAAAGTGTTCAAAAGCATCACATCCACTCCAAATATTCCTATTTATAAAATGTTGTAACTTCCCGGAAATGTAATTTAAGTGCTTAACTCCATTAATGAGAATGGCATATTTAATCTAAATATTTATTTTAGATAGTTTTAATCATTCTTTTATGTATTTAAACTGTTATTGTGAACATGCACTGTATTTATGATTAGGACTCATAATGAATATTAAAGTGGTTTTCCTTAATCAGTACCTCAGATCATCATCAGTGACGTTAAACTGCCCCGTCTCCATAATGTTCGTATGCATCGATCAAAGTTTGCAAAAAAAAAATCCGTCAAGTTTGTTTTTATAAATCACAACTTATGTGTGTGAAGTGGCGTACGCCTCTTTCAGGGCCTGTTTTGTGTGACGCAACAGTTATAAATGAGACCCCAGGACAAACAAAGAGAAGTTGTTTGCGTGAACTTACTGAGTTTTTGCATCATAATCTCTCCGGAGGCAGGGTAGTTGAGGCGGCGGGCAAACTCGGGGCAGTACCACACCAGAAGCTCCTGGTCTGCAGGAATGGCCTTGACGGTGTAGAAATAGATGCTCATCCCGTTTTGGCAGGCGGCAAGGTTCTGCTCCTGCTGGGAATGAGCTGGATTCACATAACGCATCCAGTTACTCTTCTCCTCGTCCAGTCCGTCCACAAAATGACGGAACTCTCCATTTGAGTATATCTGCAAAACGTAAAGAAGTTTCAAATTAAGATCAGACGCGATTAAAATGTTCTGTTCTCAAGTCCCCCAGTCTGCTTCTCATGTCTATGAAACAAATGAGTGGGATTTGCTCTTATAAAGTCACACAGTGAGTCAGCAAACACCCCCGCACTAATATTCACAGTCTCTTCAACAGTCCTAGGTCTCGTCTGAAGTTTGTTAGGGGGGATGCCTGTCTCAGTATGAGGTTTACACTACGCTTGCAAGTTCCAGGAACACTTTCAGACGTCACAAACAAGGTTTCCCTCTGAAACGTCAACACTGTTCTTCCTCTTCTGCTTGAAAAGCTCTCACCAGTGACTGTGTAATCACCTGGCTCGCAGCATACGGTGAAGGACTGACAGTAACTGAGGAAAGAGTGATATCAATGCTGTTTCTAGTGGGTAAAGACCAGAGTTGTTCCGCTTGGGGATCTTAGATTTGGCAGCAATAGAGAAGTGACAGAAAATAAGACTAGAGCGGGGTGACTTCACACTTTCTGACAGTAAGGAAAGAATGCATAACATGTCCCCAAATTACATTGCTGACCTTTTGGGGTTTTACATGTCAGGTAGGACATTAAGACCAACGAACCAATTTATGCTGGCTGTCCCTTATTCTAAGAAGTCGTCAAAGGGTGACCGAGATTTTTCAGTTGTGGAACAGTCTTCCCCTTCATATCTGGCAAGCTCAAACAATAGAGATTTTTAAGCCTCAGTTGAAAACGTAGCTTTTAAACTTAGCTTTTAGTTAAGGGTATTCTGTTCATTGAAGAAATAACTTATTTTTATATTGTTTTTTCTCTCTATACTAATCTCACTATACAGTTGTGTGTCTAAGAGTGTGTAGTCATGCCTTCATTTGCTAGGCTTGGTAAATGTTTTTATATACATCTATGTTTTAATTATAACTGTGAAGCACTTTGGGCAACAACGTTGCTATTAAATGTGCTATAAAAATAAATAAAGGTTGAAGTTTCTCCGTGATGACGGCTGCTTCTCACAGATGAGTGAGGGGAATGGTAGTGGCACAACAACTGTGATGCTGACTTCATTCATTGATCAAACGCTACAGTGACACGGACGATCCGTCGAGCTTAAGAAAGACGTATATTTACAGCAGCAGAACTGAAGAGTCATTCAGCACTTCCGGTCCCACACACTGCACAGTCAAATAAAGATGAACGAATCGCTGCACTCTCAGTCAGTGCACTTCCCAAAACAGCAGATCTTTACTCAGCAGTTTCTGTTCGCTCTGAGAATACAAACTCACTGCTTCTATAGCCATCCAGCCCATGATGTCACGCAGGAAGTCAGTCAGTGGAACAGGAAGTGACCCGGTATTTTTTTTCACTTGTCCGCTCCTACTTTTATTGAAAGCTTCTGAAACAAAACAACTCACCCGCCAGAAGTACTTCCTGTTGGCATCTTTGGGGACATTTTCTGCAGTGTAACTTTCTCCCACAAGGGGGCCGAAGCGTGTGCCTTTGGGGATGTATTCTCTGCTTACTACACCAATGACCTGGTCAAAAACAAAAGAAGGAAAACAGGTGGTTAAGAAAGAGGTTGATGACCTTACACTCTAAAAAAAACCTTGGATTGTTTTTTCTACCCAAATCCTGGGTTGAGCCTTTTGGGTAATTTTTTAGGTTATTTTTCAGTAGGTTTGGTAGTTTTTGTGTTACCCAGCTCTGGGGTCAGACGTAACAACCCAGTGTTTGGGTAGTTTTCTTGTTTTACCCAGATCTTGGGTCAGACATAACAACCCAGAGGTTGAGTTATATATCTCTGCTTACTACACCAATAACCTGGTCAAAAAATAGCAGGAAAACAGGTGGTTGAGAAAGAGGTAGATGACCTTAACAGTACAGTATCTCAGGATCACGTTCAAATCATTTTCTGATTCATTGCTAGCATCATTACATTAGTGTGTTTCTGTGTGTGTGTGAGAGAGAGAGAAAGAGGGGTAATTAATTGGCAGTCAGCCAGATGTGCGCACTTGAAAGACACAGAGCCGTGCGTCTCTTCAGCCGTCACCTCTCCCGACAGCCACGGGATGTGAAAGGTCATCAAGGTTGTGTCCTGAGGCTGAGAGAGACGACTCGTTTGTCCCGCTTCACCTCTGATGAACCGCACAGACACTTCTGACGAGAGCGCCAGAGCTTAGGCTCTCTACACAACACCCAATCATACAGGTGCGATATATGAATAAAGCCTATTAGAGTAGGCTTTCCAAGTTTCAAAAAAAAAAATCCGATAAATTTACAGTAGTAAAATGGTTGCCAGAAATACGGTAGCAACATTTTAGGTTTTACAGACTTAACTTAAATTTACTGTAAATAACCGTATTTCATGAACTGATATAATGTTAATTTACTGACCTATTGAAGTACTAATATCTGTTTTGTACCATTGTAATACACTGACATCCACCAATCACAGCGGAGATGAGTCACATGATCAACCAAAGCTCATCACAAGCCACACAGTGTCATTCACACACACACTAAACACCATCATGGGAACACAAATGACATGAAATTTAAAAATGCAATAAACATGAATTTAACAACATTAAATGTAACATACAACCCTAATGTAAATAACTGATTAGAAAAAACGACGAAGAAACAGTTATTTTACCAAAAATGTGAAGGTTTTTCACTGTAAATTGTTCTTTTTCACGTCCAAAAAAAGTTATTCACCGTATATAGTACGGTCTTTTATCGTTAAAATCACAATTTTTATTTTTTTTCCCAGTGTACGAGTTTGATACTTTAAATACATTTGTGTGGATCTATGCGCCTCGCTTCACCTCCTCACCCAACTCTAAAGAGCGATTACAAGCACTCATTAAACGCAGTCTCTCATCAGCGTAATCTCCCACATGACTTCACTCACTCCTCCTGTTTGAACCTCAGGTGTTTCTGGAGGAAAGAGGGCTAGCTCTTTATCAGCTCATAAGTACATGCTCACAGGGAGAGATAACACAGACAGAGCAATTGATGAAAAAATCCATAACCCTGTTCCTATTGATCTACAAACACTTTGAAAAGAAGAGGCTTAATCCCATTGAAAGCGTCAGCCGTCATTAGCGCAGGAAAGGTGGAAAGTAGTGTGTTTGTGGATTGCGGTGGACACAGACGTGCAGATAAAGCCTGTTTGATAGATGGCAAGAGATCTCGCCTCTCAACTTTTGCACTCGGTGCTCGAGGAGCTTGTCATGCGGCGCGCTGATGTATGGGTGTTTGTGTTAGCCGAGCGACAATGCGAGTTAGAAATTATTAAGCACACACACAGACATAGACAGGGAGTGTTTTTCTTTTTCTTTTTCTCTGACAGTGCAGATAAAGAAGATTAATACCAGTTGTGTGATCAGTAGGTGTGGCTTTATGGAGATGCCGTTCAAACAAAAAATCACAACCACTCAAAGCTCTTGCAGTTTGATAACGTGACGCTGTCTCCGTTTGCTTGTGTTATTAGCAGGTTTGTTGTGGCCTGATTTCCGAAAGCAAGCCTGGAGGCCTGGAGTGTGGCGCGAGTGTGTGTTGCGGAGCCGTACCTCTGTGGCGTGAGTGTGCGTTGCGGAGCCGTACCTCTGTGGCGTGAGTGTGTGTGCGGAGCCGTACCTCTGTGGCGTGAGTGTGTGTGCGGAGCCGTACCTCTGTGGCGTGAGTGTGTGTTGCGGAGCCGTACCTCTGTGGCGTGAGTGTGCGTTGCGGAGCCGTACCTCTGTGGCGTGAGTGTGTGTTGCGGAGCCGTACCTCTGTGGCGTGAGTGTGTGTGCGGAGCCGTACCTCTGTGGCGTGAGTGTGTGTTGCGGAGCCGTACCTCTGGGGCGTGAGTGTGTGTTGCGGAGCCGTACCTCTGTGGCGTGAGTGTGTGTTGCGGAGCCGTACCTCTGTGGCGTGAGTGTGCGTTGCGGAGCCGTACCTCTGTGGCGTGAGTGTGCGTTGCGGAGCCGTACCTCTGTGGCGTGAGTGTGTGTTGCGGAGCCGTACCTCTGTGGCGTGAGTGTGTGTGCGGAGCCGTACCTCTGTGGCGTGAGTGTGTGTTGCGGAGCCGTACCTCTGTGGCGTGAGTGTGTGTGCGGAGCCGTACCTCTGTGGCGTGAGTGTGTGTTGCGGAGCCGTACCTCTGGGGCGTGAGTGTGTGTTGCGGAGCCGTACCTCTGTGGCGTGAGTGTGTGTTGCGGAGCCGTACCTCTGTGGCGTGAGTGTGTGTTGCGGAGCCGTACCTCTGTGGCGTGAGTGTGTGTTGCGGAGCCGTACCTCTGTGGCGTGAGTGTGTGTTGCGGAGCCGTACCTCTGTGGCGTGAGTGTGTGTTGCGGAGCCGTACCTCTGTGGCGTGAGTGTGTGTTGCGGAGCCGTACCTCTGTGGCGTGAGTGTGTGTTGCGGAGCCGTACCTCTGTGGCGTGAGTGTGTGTTGCGGAGCCGTACCTCTGTGGCGTGAGTGTGTGTTGCGGAGCCGTACCTCTGTGGCGTGAGTGTGTGTTGCGGAGCCGTACCTCTGTGGCGTGAGTGTGTGTTGCGGAGCCGTACCTCTGTGGCGTGAGTGTGTGTTGCGGAGCCGTACCTCTGTGGCGTGAGTGTGTGTTGCGGAGCCGTACCTCTGTGGCGTGAGTGTGTGTTGCGGAGCCGTACCTCTGTGGCGTGAGTGTGTGTTGCGGAGCCGTACCTCTGTGGCGTGAGTGTGTGTTGCGGAGCCGTACCTCTGTGGCGTGAGTGTGTGTTGCGGAGCCGTACCTCTGTGGCGTGAGTGTGTGTTGCGGAGCCGGACCTCTGTGGCGTGAGTGTGTGTTACGGAGCCGTACCTCTGTGGCGTGAGTGTGCGTTGCGGAGCCGTACCTCTGTGGCGTGAGTGTGTGTTGCGGAGCCGTACCTCTGTGGCATGAGTGTGTGTTGCGGAGCCGTACCTCTGTGCCGTGAGTGTGTGTTGCGGAGCCGTACCTCTGTGGCGTGAGTGTGTGTTACGGAGCCGTACCTCTGTGGCGTGAGTGTGTGTTGCGGAGCCGTACCTCTGTGGCGTGAGTGTGCGTTGCGGAGCCGTACCTCTGTGGCGTGAGTGTGTGTTGCGGAGCCGTACCTCTGTGGCATGAGTGTGTGTTGCGGAGCCGTACCTCTGTGCCGTGAGTGTGTGTTGCGGAGCCGTACCTCTGTGGCGTGAGTGTGTGTTGCGGAGCCGTACCTCTGTGGCGTGAGTGTGCGTTGCGGAGCCGTACCTCTGTGGCGTGAGTGTGTGTTGCGGAGCCGTACCTCTGTGGCGTGAGTGTGTGTACGGAGCCGTACCTCTGTGGCGTGAGTGTGTGTACGGAGCCGTGAGTGTGTGTGCGGAGCCGTACCTCTGTGGCGTGAGTGTGTGTGCGGAGCCGTGAGTGTGTGTACGGAGCCGTGAGTGTGTGTTGCGGAGCCGTACCTCTGTGGCGTGAGTGTGTGTACGGAGCCGTGAGTGTGTGTACGGAGCCGTGAGTGTGTGTGCGGAGCCGTACCTCTGTGCCGTGAGTGTGTGTACGGAGCAGTGAGTGTGTGTGCGGAGCCGTACCTCTGTGCCGTGAGTGTGTGTGCGGAGCCGTACCTCTGTGGCGTGCGCCGGGTGTTTGAAGGCCAGGTTCCTGGGCAGGGACGCCTCGGCCCGTGTGCTCTCCACCGGACCCTCCCAGGTGTGGTCCTTCACCACGTACGTGCATTTCTCCTCAAACTCTTCCTCCGTCCATTTTGTCATGTCTGCATCCTCCACGTCCATCTTGAGCTCCTCATTGTCAGCGGTGTAGGGTGCTCCCTCAGTAGTCAACATTGCCGAGCTGTGATGAGAAGCAGCCTGAGGAACAGGCAGAGTCAGACGTGTTGACTTGTGTCTGTGTGTGAGAGCTAAACATTATCTAGCTAAAGGGCAAAGGTTGAACTACATCAATGCTCTTTTTCTATGAAACATTTATGATGCACAAATATTCTTTAATAGCAAGAAATGAATTTGAAATTTAGTTTTTGCCTGAATTAGATCTCGGTTGTTTAACGAGGAGGATTTTTTGGGAACACTTTACTTCATCCTCTGGTGCTGTTCAGCCATTCAAACATTAAATTCTGTAACTTTTTTTACGTTCACTTTTTAAAACTGTTTTCACTTCAGCAATAATCTGCCGAGCGTCGTCTCTGAGAAGAGATCAAACTTCAGTCTGGGCTTTAAAGCATTCAAGATTTACCAGTTTAAGTTGGACATTACATTTTCAGGTCTATGCTCAAAAAGTGAATAAATGGATTATAAATACAGCGTAAATATAATTTAGTTCCATAAAATCCCCTAAAAATACTAAATATTAAATAAAAAACATTATCAAACTAAGATATAGTACATTCATTTCATTGAAAAAAACAAATTCAGTCATTTCTCTACGCAAAGAGCACCAGAGGGTTAAAGCCTTTATATATATATAATGCATTTAATTATGAACCTTATAATGCATTGTATGGTCTCATGAATAATTGTAACCACAGTTATAATATATTACAATACTAGAAAGCGTAATCTATGACAACACACGACAAACAACACATATTGTTTGCAAATATTATAAGGCATTTTAACTTTGCTCACAACCATTTATGAAAAAATATAATGCAATATGAAAACTTGTAAAATGCATTATACACAAAGTGTTACCACTCAAGTTTTATACATAAAGTGTTACCGAATTGTCTTTCAACACAGAGAAGCTAAAGTGCTCCTCAAAGTAAATAAAAGACATCCTGAGCTGAACTGATCCCAATCTCTCCTCTAGTGTCCTACTCTTCACTTCTGTCCATCAGCTATCCCTCGCTCCTCTTCCCGCTCCCTGTTTTCTTCCCGGAGGGAAAAAATAGTCACAAATGGAGGAAAACAGAGGAAGGAAGTCCCGTCTACTTCTGAATGTGGCTAAATGTGGAATCAGAGGAACCATCAATCCGTCCCAGAGAATGTGTGTGTGTGTGTGTGTGTGTGTGTGTGAGAGAAACAGAAACAAAAGAGGAGAAATGTTTTTCCACTGGGACGCAAAGTGATTCAATCAATCTCCAACCAACACTCAAGCCGAAACACGGCAAATTCTCCACCAAAACTCGGACAATGCTGTTTAAACATGTTTTTTAAAAGTGAACTTTTTTCGTTCCTATAAACTACAAATGTTCACAGTTCTATCATTTGTATTAAAAAGTTCACTGAATTAGTCAAATTTCACGTTTCAGAACAGACGGCAACTTCTAAAGTAAAAAAGTTGATTCGTGGATATTGAGCTTTTTCTATTATACTAGTATTTTGTACTTTTTTATACAAGAGAAGATCAGAAAACAGTTTTCTTTTGTTTTTTTGTTAGAAAGTCTTGCGCGTAGGACAGCTGGAGAACCAAAACTCATAGTGAAACTGAAAAACTCAACATTAACAAACATGGAAATCAGATGTGCACACTAAATATACAGACAACATATAAAACTATATCTAAAACACTACTTTTAGGTGAAATCATTAAAAAACATTTAGTTTAAATAAATTATATATGTATATATATATATATATGCATCCAGCCAGTAAATACAGAAGATAAGAATTGTTTTAAATGAATTAAAATAAATAGAAATCACTCTCATAGCCGAGAACAAAAAAAATAACTAAAGCCCCAATAAAACAGTTCACAAGCCTCACAACAAACAATCACACCGCATATAATTAACAACCTCTAAACAAGCTGTAAACATTCAATTAATGAACTAATAGAAACAGTTGATTGTAATGTAAAACGCATTCTTGTCTTGCCACAGAAATAAGCTCAGAGAAATGTCACTTACCAGGACGCTCTGGTCCCAGCCACACATAGAGGCTGTGTGTGATCTCTCCCCTGAGTGAGTGTGTGTGTGTGTGTGGGACAGGTGCAGCTCAGTTCTCCGGTCTCGTCCCACTGCTAGTCCAGATGGTAATGACTTCTCCTGCGAGTGCCTGAGATTGACTGACTAACTGAGCATGTTTGTCTGACTTGTTGAAGGCACTTTGGCCCCGCCCACTGTCTCCTCCCACATCAGTGTCACTGACTCCGCCCCCAGAGGACATGATCTAACAATCACTCTACTGCTGCCACACACACACACACACACACACACACACACACACACACACACACACCTATTGCTTTTATATGAAGACAGTTATACATATTATAATCTAACCCTAACCTATATCCTAAACCTAACAGAACACTTTTAAAAAAAATGCATTTTTACATATAAAAAAAAAACCCAGCTGTTTATTTTCATGCCATTTTCACAATTGAGGACACACACACACACCTACTGTTTTCATTTGAAGACAGTTATAGATATTAAACCCTAACAGAAAACGTTCTGCATTTTTACCATTAAAAACACATTGACAATTGAGGACCCCCCCCCCCCCCCCACACACACACACACACACACACACACATTTTCTTTCATTACCTTTTCATTGCCCTTTTTACTATAAAAACAGACAAGTGCACTCATAATCCTAAATAATCCTTGCATAAAAATAAATCTGTGCTCATTTTCTTTCTTTCTTTCAAAATTCTAGACTCATGAATCCAAAACGAATTGTCTAGTCCGATACTTGGATCGCATGTCCACTTGTATGCTGACCCGAGTCAGTGTCCGGGGGATTGAGCGCTGTGTCGACACACACACACACACACACACACACACCCGGAGCTGAGCTGCTGCTGCGTCGACACACACACACACACACACCCCGAGCTGAGCTGCTGCTGTCAGCGGAGAGTGAACATGTTCCAGCGTCTCGCTCTCGTCCTGGGGAGGAAGGATGTCCTGTGACGGAGACTCAGTGACGAAGGCCGTTTACTGGGAGATCCTCTTTTACACACGACTCCCACTGTTCCCACAATGCTAACGCTCTCCGGTGCGGGACTCATTCCTGAGAGCGCTCCGACTAACTCATACGTGCACATTTCTATACATAGAACAGTCAAAAGTTTAGGATCGATGAGATTTATAATGTTTTTAAAAGAAGTCTCATCCTCATATTAGAGTGATTTCTGAGGGATCATTTGACACTGAAGACTGGAGTAATGATGCTGGAAATCACAGGAATAAATTACACTTTCTTAAAATAGAAAACAGTTATTTTAAATTGTAGTAATATTTCATAATATTACTGTTTTTTTGTATTTTTAATCAAATGAATGCAGCCTTGGTGAGCAGAAGAGACTCTTTCAAAAACATTTTAATCGTAGCGATGGCAAACGCTTGAGCGGCGGTGTTCTCCAGATGTAGATCTCTTGCTGGTTTGGTGAAAACGGAGTGGAAATGAAAGCCAAAGGCCCTCAGCAGACACACACACAAACACTCTCACCCACCCGACATTCAGCTGGGGACGAGAGTTGACCACATCACACACAGCCCACTGTTTCCTGGAGAAGACTGGGCTGAAGATCACATTAGCCCAGAGCCCCCCCCCCCCCCCCCCCAACGGCCCACAGCTGTCTACACCAGACCCACCAGAACACTCGGGCTGCCATATCAGATGATATTCACTAATATGACTAATTTTTCTACATTCTTTTGCAAGATGCTGTTTTCTTGCACGGCACTATAGCAGACTCTGCCAGAAGATGCACATCAGTATTGGCCAGGACACAGCCGGTGTACAGGGACACACTGAGGCCTCGTCCACACTCACCAGTGTCCGTTCAAAGCGCATCTTCCTCTCCGGTCCGGCCTTCGTCACACTGAGACGCCGTCTTTATTAATGAAAATGAAGCTTTTTGAAAACGCTCTCCAAAGTGGATACATTTTAAAGCGGTGTTTTCGTGTTGTAGTGTGGAATGAGGAAACTGAGGGATTTAGAAAACGATGATGCAACTTTAGTCATGTGATGCGTATCGAACCCATAGATATTCATGTTTATACGGTATTGTGCCTGTTCACTTTCACACTGTTGCTGAAATATGTTACTTCACACACTCTTCATGTCACAGTCCTGCAGACATGACCGAAGATTCACTCGCATCTCCTAAACATGAGCAGTTTGAGCTTTTAGACCGAACATATAATGGTGAGTGAGTGAAACCTGGTCGATCAGTGAAAGATGCGCAGTAAAGGGGAATTTAGCGTTTTCAGGCGTTTTCCAAAAGTTTCTCATCCGCACTGAAACGCTAGTGTGGACGGAGAGCGTTTTTAAACGAAAACGTTTTCAGATGTATCCGGATTAATGTAGTGACGGTGAAGGTTCTTACATTCCCCTCTGAACAGCAGACCTGTGGGAGAACAGAGTCTGTCGTCCCCAATAAGATCCGCTTTAAGAGCCTTGAAGCCCATAAAAGGTCTGAAGCCTCCAGGGCTTGATCACACACACACACACACACACACCTTCTCTCTGGCCGAGTCGAGGCCAGGGGGCAGGGAGGACTCGCAACTCTGAAGTCACATTCAAATGGACCTTTTTACTGTCTATTTAAAGGGTTTAATGTGGCCTGAAAGAAAACCAGCTGAACAATAGCAGGCAGAGGATCATCAACATCATCAACTCTGTAAAGCTGTTAGCTTTACAGAGAACTCATAACATGCCCTCACCACAGAGAAGAAGAGAGGAGAGGAGGAGGAAGAGAAGAGGAAGGAGAAGAGAGGAGAAGAGAGAAGAGGAAGAAGAAGAGGAGTGGAAGAAGGAGAGGAGAAAAGAGGAAGAAGGAGAGGAGAGAAGAGGAGGAAGAGAGGAGAGAAGAGGAAGAAGGAGAGGAGAGAAGAGGAGGAAGAGAGGAGAGAAGAGGAAGAAGGAGAGGAGAGAAGAGGAGGAAGAGAGGAGAGAAGAGGAAGAAGGAGAGAAGAGGAGGAAGGGAGAAGAAGAAGAAGAGTGGAAGAAGGAGAGGAGAGAAGAGGAGAAAAGAGGAAGAAGGAGAGAAGAGGAAGGAGAAGAGGAGAAAAGAGGAAGAAGGAGAGAAGAGGAGGAAGAGAGGAGAGAAGAGGAAGAAGAAGGAGAGCGGAAGGAGAGGAGAGAAAAGAGGAAGGAGAGGAGATAAGAGGAGGAAGAGAGGAGAGAAAAGGAAGAAGAAGGAGAGGAGAGAAGAGGAGAAAAGAAGGAGAGAAGAGGAAGGAGAAGAGGAGGAAGAGAGGAGAGAAGAGGAAGAAGGAGAGTGGAAGAAGGAGAGGAGAGAAGAGGAGAAAAGAGGTAGAAGGAGAGAAGAGAGGAGGAAGAGAGGAGAGAAGAGGAAGAAGGAGAGGAGAGAAGAGGAGAAAATAGGAAGAAGGAGAGGAGAGAAGAGGAAGGAGGAGAGAAGAGGAAGAAGAAGAAGAGTGGAAGAAGGAGAGGAGAGGTTCTACATATGAAGCGCCTGACGAAACCCTTTAAGGTTCTACATATGAAGCGTCTGACGAAACCTTTTAAGGTTCTACATATGAAGCGCCCGACGAAACCCTTTAAGGTTCTACATATGATGCGCCTGACGGAACCATTTAAGGTTCTACATATGAAGCGCCTGACGAAACCCTTTAAGGTTCTACATATGTAGCGCCTGACAAAACCCTTTAAGGTTCTACATATGAAGCGCCTGACGAAACCTTTTAAGGTTCTACATATCATATGAAGCGCCTGACGGAACCATTTAAGGTTCTACATATGAAGCGCCTGACGGAACCCTTTAAGGTTCTACATATGAAGCGCCTGACGAAACCTTTTAAGGTTCTACATATGAAGCGCCTGACAAAACCCTTTAAGGTTCTACATATGAAGCGCCTGACGAAACCTTTTAAGGTTCTACAAATGAAGCGCCTGACGGAACCATTTAAGGTTCTACATATGAAGCGCCTGACGGAACCATTTAAGGTTCTACATATGAAGCGCCTGATGGAACCCTTTAAGGTTCTACATATGAAGCGCCTGACGAAACCTTTTAAGGTTCTACATATGAAGCGCTTGACGGAACCATTTAAGGTTCTACATATGAAGCGTCTGACGAAACCCTTTAAGGTTCTACATATGAAGCGCCTGATGAGACCATTTAAGGTTCTACATAGGAAGCGCCTGACGGAACCATTTAAGGTTCTACATATGAAGCGTCTGACGAAACCCTTTAAGGTTCTACATATGAAGCGCCTGACGGAACCCTTTAAGGTTCTACATATGAAGCGCCTGACGAAACCCTTTAAGGCTCTACATATGAAGCGCCTGACGAAACCATTTAAGGTTCTACATAGGAAGCGCCTGACGGAACCATTTAAGGTTCTATATATGAAGCGTCTGACGGAACCCTTTAAGGTTCTACATATGAAGCGCCTGACGAAACCTTTTAAGGTTCTACATATGAAGCGCCTGACGGAACCATTTAAGGTTCTACATAGGAAGCGCCCGATGGAACCATTTAAGGTTTTACATATGAAGCGTCTGACGAAACCCTTTAAGGTTCTACATATGAAGCGCCTGACGGAACCCTTTAAGGTTCTACATAGGAAGCGCCTGACGAAACCTTTTAAGGTTCTACATACGAAGCGCCTGACGAAACCCTTTAAGGTTCTACATATGAAGCGCCTGACGAAACCTTTTAAGGTTCTACATATGAAGGGCCTGACGGAACCATTTAAGGTTCTACATCTGAAGCGCCTGATGAAACCCTGACAAAACCAAGGTTCTACATATGAAGCGCCTGATGAAACCCTTTAAGGTTCTACATAGGAAGCGCCTGACGGAACCATTTAAGGTTCTTCATATGAAGCGCCTGACGAAACCCTTTAAGGTTCTACATATGAAGCGCCTGACAAAAACATTTAAGGTTCTACATATGAAGCGCCTGACAAAAACATTTAAGGTTCTACATATGAAGCACCTGATGAAACCCTTTAAGGTTCTACATATGAAGCGCCTGATGAAACCCTTTAAGGTTCTACATAGGAAGCGCCTGACGAAACCCTTTAAGGTTCTACATATGAAGCGCCTGACGAAACCCTTTAAGGTTCTACAAATGAAGTGCCTGACGAAACCAT